ATAAAGAAAAGCGGTCTTCATATCAAATTGCTAAAGTTTCAAGCCTTGCGTAGCTGCCATGCTTAACAATACGCGTACTGTATGTACACTGGATAAAATAGCTCGTCGTAATCTATTCCTTCATTCTGCGCGCACCCTTTTACTACAAGTCTAGCTTTCGCTCTCTCTGATTGATTGATCCATCTGGTTTTAATTTCATTCGATATACCCAGCGATTTCGTAGAACTTTAATTCCTTCTGGTAATTCTTCCATCTGCCATGTACCATTCTCTTCATGAGACTTCATTTCCTCGTCCATCGCTTTCTTCCACATGACTTTATGTTCAGAATCTATCGCTTCTTCATACGTTCCTGGAGCATCCCCCAGGGTAGGCAAAGTAAGCGTAATCTTGTAAGGATTTTTCCTTTCCTAGAATTGTTACCTCATAGTAATTGTATCGACTTGGTAGTTTTTGTTGTCCTTTTGGACGTGTCGAATTTGTTTCTTCTATATCTTCATTACAATTTTCTAACTTATCTGGGTAACTTTCTTCAAGAATTTCTTCCTTGTTGTTGCCTACAGATCCCTGAGTTTCAAGGTCGTTCTTAAAATCACTCTCTAAACTGTCCAGTTGATAAGTCAATTCATTTTCGAATGTTACGTTATAGGAACGCACCAGATCTCTGCGTCCGTCAACATAAATTCTATACCCATCAGATTCCTCGTAACCAACCAAAAGTCCGCATTCGCTTTTGCTTCCAAATTTTTGTTTTCGATTAGGTTCTGGTAGCAAATACCAAACTTTCGTCCCGAACACACTTAATTTGTCAATATCAAAATAATTAATCCCATACTACAGTTCAATTGGTGATTTTTCATTCACTGGTGTAGGTGCCGTTCGATTAAACACAAAAACGCGTATTACACGCTTCAGCCCAAAGTTTTATAGGTAATCCCTTTTGTGTAAGCATAGCACGAGCTGCTTCAATTACAGTACGATTTTCTCTTTCCGCCGCGCCGTTTTGTTGAGGTGTCTTTCAGTATTTTATTTAGATATTCAGTTTCAACACCTGCAGTGTCCGCTTCGTTAAAGAAAGTTTCAATGCACTTTGCTGCCTCATTTTTGGTTTTAAGGTAAAACAATCGTCTGAATTTTGTAAAATCATCTTTTAAAATTAAGCCATACAATTTTCTTGACGGGCTCACCCGACATAGGTCCAATCAGATCCGCGTTAATCTATTCACCAGCTTCCTTCGCACGCACCGTTCTCGACCCACAAAATTCATCTTTAATTTCAACACTGATAGCATTTCTTAGTAAAAACATTGCAATGTGTCTTTCATTGTGATGTGCGAGTCTTTCGTGCAACACTTGCAACGATTCATTTACTGACGCAACATTTACGACCACGGGATTCATCGGTTTTACTACTGAAATGTCCAAAATCGTCAAACCGTTAGATATTGCCTTTCCGGTTACCAAAATCTGTCCATCACGTTTAACGACACACGAACCATGGGTTGCGCATCCACTCTTTCTGGCTTGCGCGATAGAAAATAAATTTCCACGTAATTCTGGCACGTACAAGACATTTTTGAATTCACGACTGACCCATTCTTATCTCTCGCTTGTATGCTCACTTTTCATATTCCTAGAGCTAGTAGATCTTGAGAACCAATTCCAGTTATAGAAATTGGAACCCTCATACGTCTTAAAGTTTTTCTTGTTTGACGTCATGTGCTGGGAACATCCAGAATCAGCAATCCATGCATCCACACCGTTGGAATTAATATAGCTGGGAATTGTTTTCATTGTCATCATTCGATTTCTCTGGGCACTGTGCAGCTTTATGTCCCCTTTTGTGACATTTATAACATTTAAAAAGGAAATTGCTGCTTTTGTTTTTCGTTGTATCCCCATTTCCACTTTTCGTTGATACTCCGTTATTGTTCTGTTGTGCTCCACACAGAGCCACCATGTTATTATCCGTACCAACTTTTATTCTTTTCTTCTTCATGGTTACGAATACGCTCCGTTAACATATCAAGCGATCTGGAATTGTCTGATTCAGCTTCCTAAACCGTTTTTACAGCTATATGTATATTCAACAGGCAAAATATATAAAACTCGTCCCAGTAAAATGCATTCGTCAAGCTCTGCTTGCTTTTTCCTTTTGAGTTCACTACTTATTTCATTAATTATGCAACTCACCAATATGGGTATCATATTAACATTAGCATCGTAGGCACAACCCAAAAATTGTTCAAGCAATTTATCTAAACGTTGGCCAGTTCCCATGCTAAATGTTCTTCTCAACCGATCCCACATTTCTTTAGGGGCCTTACAGCCCAAAACATGACGCTTTAAGATCTTTGCCCACTACCCCGTTCCATAGTAAGACCGTAACAGGGACGTGTCAAGCACGTAAAAAAACGTTCCGAACACTACTATGCCCACTGCAACGGACCAACACCGTTCTATTCTCGTATGAAACGCGTATTATGCCCGTATGCAAGGCCCGTGTATACAATCTGTGGATGCCCCGTTCGGATCCTGTTTAGTGCAGCACCAGACCTGTTAGTTGTTGTACATTTTTGCTGTTGCGCCTACCTGCGGATAGTATCAAAAAAGCGACGGTGTGGCTATTAGAAAGTTATCTATCAGACAATTGGCAATGATTGCCATTATTTTGGACGAGGAAGAAGAAGTAATGCAAAAACGGCGACGACGGTACTGGATTCACGATGCTCTAAAAGAACGAAAAGCTGAGGGAGAATACTGGACACTATTTAGANTTCATATATCAAAGTACCCTTAAAATTCACTAAAGAATCACCCCTTGAAGTTTGTTGCAGTCATTCAGATACACCCTGTATAAAACTCGTCCTAGTAAAATGTATTCGTCAAGCTCTACTTTCGTTTTCCTTTTGAGTTCACTACTTATTTCATTAATTATGCAACTCACCAATATGGGCAATCATATTAACATTAGCATCGTAGGCATAACCAAAAAATTGTTCAAGCAATTTATCTAAACGTTGGCCCGTTCCCATGCCAAATGTTCTTCTCAATCGATCCCACATTTCTTTAGGGGTTTTACAGCCCAAAACATGACGCTTTAAGGTCTTTGCCCACTACCTCGTTCCATACTAGGACCGTAACAGGGACGTGTCAAGCACGTAAGAAAACGTTCCGAACACTACTATGCCCACTGCAACAGACCAACAGCGTTCTATTCTCGTATGAAACGCGTATTATGCCCGTATGCAAGGCCCATGTATACAATCTGTAGATGCCCCGTTCGGATCCTGTTTAGTGCAGCACCAGATCTGTTAGTTGTTGTACATTTTTGCTGTTGCGCCTACCTGCGGATAGTATCAAAAAAGCGACGGTGTGGCTATTAGAAAGTTATCTATCAGACAATTGGCAATGATTGCCATTATTTTGGACGAGGAAGAAGAAGTAATGCAAAAACGGCGACGACGTTACTGGATTCACGATGCTCTAAAAGAACGAAAAGCTGAGGGAGAATACTGGCCATTATTTAGACACTTAATTGACGATGAATTTTTTCAATACTTTTGAATGTCATCATTTCAAATTTCCTTCCAGGCTCTCTCTTTCCTTTGAGTATCCATATATTTTGGATGTTGAAGGTTATACAAAAATTCATATTTATTACGAACACATTCTATTAGTTTTTCGTCCTCCATATTTAACAAGTGTGAACCTGCTGCAGTGTACTAGCGCGAAAGGAATAGTAAAACAGATGTTTGCTGGCACCTGCAAAATATTCCTCCCTGGGAATTGCTGTCGGGCCGGGCATGGCACGGTACACTGTTGGCCGGTGCCGGAGCGGTCAAGTGGGCATTGCCTCAGGGCCGATTTACATCAGACGATTCTATCCCCACTCTATCATATTCTTTTAGTGTGAACAGATGTAGAGCATTCTTTCGTTGTTCTGTCTGTGTTCTCAAAGATTCTAGAGAATATTCTAGGAATGTTCGATCGCTTGAACGTGAACGTAAACGGCATTAGAGCGTGCGAACAATTGCTTAGAGCCTTCTTGCGTGTTCGGATGTGCTCGCTCATCGGAGCGATCTCTTCAAAGCGTTCTTGTGTTCTAGCCGAATGAGCATTCGTTCGGCTGATCTATGTGCAAGAATTCTGATTCTTGATTCTCATTTTTGCTCGTTGATATTTTGGTGTAAGCGCTAAAAACGCGATTTCGTTTACACTAAAAGATCAAGAAAGAATGCTCTTGTTCTAGCTCTAGCTCTTTGTTCGTTTGGTTTAAATGCACCTTCATAGTAATTCATACAAAGAATATTTTTTTATATGTGTCGATACGGTTACGGTCATGGTATGATACGGTGTAGTGGGCAAAGACCTTTATGGGTTGACTTAGTGCTCTAATTATATATAACCGGGCTCTTACACAATCGGCTTCGTATTTATCGATAGCTTCCAATTGTTCAGTGTTTAATTTTTCTACCTTTTCTGGTACTTTACGTGTACCATCCACGACGTCAAATAAACGAGTCGCACGAAACAACATGCACATGGATTCCTCCAAACTTCCCAGTTCTCAGCTTCAAGAAGTTCATCGACATACAACAAAAGATCCGTTTTGCACGCCATTGTTTCTTACTTAAACACTCGTGTTTTTAACCTCTACTTTATTTCGTGTTACCTTATTTATTTCGGTTTCGCGCACTTTGGGCCCATAACCTGTTGAGTTGCGGTAACGTTTTTAATAAAACAACGAGCCGTTGATAGAAAATATATTGAAAATATTACTGAACTACAAACTGTGGCGAACTACATATATGACCAGAACAAAATTCTCGGTCGAAACGCGCCTTTCGTACTGCCAACTTAAAAAATATATAAATCTGTAGCTTTTAGGCAAACAAGTAGCGACATCTATTGGATAATGTTTTAATAATACTTAACAAATATTCAATAGTAATCAATTTTGAACTTGTGCTAAAGTTAATATTTATTTTAATTAATTAGATGCGATGGAGAAAAAGATTGTAGAGATGGATCTGATGAACCAACATCGTGTCCACCAAGAACATGCAGAGCAGGAATGTTCCAATGTAAAAATAATCACTGCACTGCATCTTCGACAATTTGCGATGGTACAGATAATTGTGGAGACGGTTCCGACGAACAAAACTGTGGCTATCCATGCCCTCAAATCGAATTTAAATGTAGATCGAGCGGACGCTGTATTTTGGAAAGTTGGAAATGCGATGGGGATCCAGATTGTAAAGATGGCTCTGATGAAGATCCAGTACTTTGCGCCAACCGTACGTGTGACATAGATACGGAATTCCGTTGTAAAAATGGTAAATGCATTCCGAAATTGTGGACGTGTGATTTCGATAACGATTGTGGTGATGATTCCGACGAACCAGCTTATTTGTGTAGACAAAAGAATTGTACGGTTGGTTGGCAAAGATGTCCGGGAAGAACGAATTATAGATGTATTCCAAAATGGTTATTCTGTGATGGAAAAGATGATTGTCGCGATGGTTCTGATGAATTACCCGAAAATTGTCCAAAGTGTAATTCTGAAACTGACTTTAAATGCCAAAATAATAGATGCATTCCAAAACAATGGCAGTGTGACTTTACCGATGATTGCGGAGATGGCTCAGATGAAAGTGATAAAATCTGTAACGGGCATTATCGAGAATGTTCCGAATCTGAATTCAAGTGTAAAAATGGAAAATGTATCTCAACTAGATGGCGATGCGATCACGAAAACGACTGTGGTGATAACTCAGATGAAACGGCTTGCTCCGGATATCAATGTAAAAATGGAACGTTCCAATGCGCTTCTGGACATTGCATCGCATCTTATTTCCGTTGCGATGGTGATAGAGACTGCCGCGATATGTCCGATGAACTGAATTGTCCACCGAAGTTCCCCAATGGAAGATATTGCCCAGAAACAAAATATCAATGCAACAACCATCTTTGTATTAGCATGGCAGATTTGTGCGATGGAACAGATGATTGTTCCGATGGTTCAGATGAATCCTCTTCCATTTGCAGCAACTTCAAATGCGATAACTTACACAGATTCCAGTGTAACAATCATAAATGCATCTCAAGGTACCAACTATGCGACGGAATTGATAACTGCGGAGATGGTTCCGATGAAAACAACATGACCATATGTTCAACAAAACAAAAACCATGCGATCCAATTAGCGAATTTATGTGTGCGAATAAGAAATGTATTGAAAGATCTCAAGTATGCGATTTATCTGATGATTGTGGTGATCGTTCAGATGAATTAGGATGTCATCATACAAGTTCTTGTACAGATGAAACGCGCGGTCAATGTCAACACATATGCATGAACTTAACGGAGATTGGTTATATTTGTAGTTGCCAAGTTGGGTTTATTATCTCGAAACAAAATACGAAACATTGTGAAGATATAGATGAGTGCGCCATGAATACGCATCATTGTTCACAAAATTGCATCAATCTAAATGGAACTTATGAATGTTCTTGTCAGCCCGGTTTTAGATTGATAGACGGTCAATCAGGAGTTTGTAAAGCTTTAGTTGATCCACCCATTGTTTTACTTGCAAATGGTCCTGAAATTAGATCCTACGATTTACAAAACCGCGATGAAAATAACGTTATTAATCAAGAAAAACGGATTGAAGCAATTGATTATAATCCAAACACTCAAATGATCTTCTGGGCTGATAGTTATGACAAAACAATAAAAAGATCTTATATGATTAACGCACTTGATGGTAGGGTAAAAATGGGATATGCCCAAGATTTGGATATGAAAGGAACGTCGAAACCAACATCTTTATCGATCGATTGGATTGGTGACAATTTATATTGGACGGAAACCGATCGTCAAAGTTCTAAAGCTAAAGGAAGGGTTATGGTTGCTAAAACCGACGGAAGATATCGACGATCGATAGTTAGCGTTGGCGTAGAAGATCCAACTTCTATCGCTGTTGATCCACAACATGGAAAAATGTTCTGGACGGATGCAGGAGTTGCTCCTAAAATAGAAGTTGCTTGGATGGATGGATCAAAACGAAGGCCGCTCGTAACGCAAAACATAAGACATCCTACAGGGTTGACAATTGATTTTGGTATGGGTCATAATCTTTATTGGGCAGATACGAAATTAAACACAATTGAATCTATGTCGCAAGATGGATCTAATCGGAAATCTGTTTTACGTGGAGAATTTTTGAAACATCCTATTTCATTAGATGTATTTGAATCATCTTTGTATTGGGTTACTAAGGATACTGGAGAATTAATTCAACAAGATAAATTTGGAAGGGGTATTGCTGTTTCTGTTCTTTCTGATTTGATGAATCCTTCTGGAGTCAAAAGTAAGTGGCATAAACATTTTTGATTTTAAAATTTGCTCCATCTCTCCAACAATCTTCCTAATGTCACGTGATACATCTTTTGTATGGCCAATGGAGTGGAAATAACTCCATTGGCCATCAAGTACCGTGAATGTTTTTCAACAAAATACATTATTAACTTATCAAAATTATTTTTTTTTGTAGTACACCATAATTTAAAATATAACACAACAATTAACAATCCATGTATGAAAAGGCAATGCTCCCATTTATGTCTGTTGATACCGGATGGTCATAGATGCGCATGTCCGGATTCCGCAACTATTGCCAGAAAGACGGATATCGTTTGTGGGACTGCTTTACCTGAAAAGCCACTTCCAAGAGTCTGTATGTGTCAAAATGGTGGTATTTGTAAAGAATCTGATACGGAAGTAGATAAATTGGAATGTGTATGTTTGCCAAACTTTATTGGAGAAGTCTGCGATGTCCATACTGCGTTGAGTACTTCATCAACCGCCTCTAATGTAACTGCCGTTATTGTCCCGATTATTGTTATTTTGTTACTTATTGGTTTGGCGGCTGGTGCTTGGTTTGTAATTAGGAAGAGACCATTGTAAGTTAAAAAAATTGCTATTAATAAATCGGTTAATTTTTTTTATTGTAGTGGAAAAGGATCAACATTAGGTAGTTTGGCTAGTAGTCAAAGCGTTTCGTTTAGGCAAGGCACGAATGTTGAATTTGGACCTACGACATTTAATGAAAACGGATCCGGAAATGTAGAACCCTTGGATGTTGCTTATAGCTTAGATCCCGTCAGCAATAAAAATAGAGATTTCCACAATCCAATGTATGATGCAGTTCAAAATAATCCTGACGCAATGGGAAATGGAAGTTCAGGTAACATTTTCTTTTAAGATCCATCTATAAAAAATGATTTTTAAATGCAATTTTATTATTTAGCTTTATATGAAGTTCCGGTGGATGTAACGAAATCAAAAAGCGACACATTTATGGAACCACCAAGCGCTATATTAGCGCCATCTAGCGTAACACACAGATCGTCGCCTCAAGTGAATATTAGGCACAAAGAGTTGGAACCGGCAATCGACACCGGCAAAGATACGCAAAAGCTGGTAGAAGAAGACTGCTGATACAAACACAAAGAATCTATATACCGAATTTACTGGTTAGTGCTAGATTACATGAAGTGATTTGAAATTTTTAATTTCTAAGAAGAAACAAGGAACAAAGTCCAAATCAATAAAAAAAAATAGCGAACAATTCTTTTATATAGAAACCATACTTACTTTAATTTTTGTATTTTAAAGATAGTACATGTTGTGCGAATTTCTACATATTTAAAATGAAATTAATTTGAGAAGATATATAGTATATGATTTCAGAGAGTTAATGCGCTGTTTAGAAATCCGAATGACTGTGTATATAATATATATATTTTATTATTGTTATTAAGTTGTGATGCAGGTTTTATTTTCCTTGTTATGTACATTTTACACGTTTAGTTGTACTACTACGAATTTTTTAAGACGTTGAAACGTTTGAGAGATTTTTCCGTAATTCTATAAGAACAAAAAACATACTATTAGATTAAAAGAGAATATTTTTATATGAAGGTGTTGGTAAGAGAGTTTTTAAAAAACTTAAATCAGCATAATCGCCAAATTCCAAGATACATTCTATATTCTGAAATCATTTTGAATCCATTATTTTTGTGTTACACTAAAAGTGCCATCGTCCAAAATTTTAAATAAATAGAATTGATTATGCTGATTTATTTTAATTGTTGTTAACTCATTTGTTTTGTCATCGTTGGACTATCTTCCATACTGTAAGATTCTGTATATATCGTAAATAAAGTGTAAATTAATTAATATTTAACAACAGTCCGTAAAGTGATTTTTGTAACAGAGACAGACTGCATTTGCGAACATTCCAATATTTATAGACAGTATTTTTTTATTTGTACCAATAACCTCTTTTAGAAATCGATCATTTAAACAATTTTTAGATAAAGTACACTTTATATGACTTGTATGTGAAAATGTGAATTATACAAATAAAAAAATACCAAACAATGTTGTGTTAGTGTGTGATTAGTTTTAATTAATTTGATTTCATTAAAAACAACAACGTTAAATTAAAATATCCAGAAAGATAATAGATGATTTTTGAGCCAATCGCAGCTAAAGCTGTGTAATTTAAAAATTAAAGAAAAAATGTTAAAGCCATCCACACATGCCATCTTTTATTAAATGGCAGAATGAATGGGGTGTTCATTCGAATGAAAACTTAAAGGAATCTACAATATAATGTATTCCTATAGTATTACTGATTTTACATTCAAACAATAAAAGAAGCGTGTGGAAAATAATGCTATACGAAGTATTTTGCGCGTATCTTTTTTAACTTTAGATACAGTTGTAGTACATTGTTTTGCATTGCAAGTTTATACTATATGTATTTTCACTATCAAGCACACCGAAGAATGATTATTGATTTTTTAACATGATTTACAAGCTCAATACTTACAGGTGTTATAATAAAGATAAAATAAAATAGTTAATTATTACTTGAAGGTGTTTTAGTATTAAATAAACAAATTTCTAGTGTATTATCCTTTATTATACAGAGTGACTAAAAAATAGAGCGATTACTCGAGCGGCGACAGCAACTTTTACCCTTGTTTTTCCACCTCTTATTACATTTTATATAAAAGTTAAGTCGATGGCATGATTGATTGGTATAAGTTTGGGGGAGAAGTTAGGGGAAAGTGTTGTACCTTGGACCGATCTGTACCTTGGGTCACTTAACACAAAACAGTAATTTGTTCGTATTGATGTACTAGTCTGTAGGTGTAGTTGAGACTCGGAATTTTACAAATTTAAATATTCGAATAGTCGAACAATTCGAATAGTCGAATAATTCGAATATTTATTAATATTCGACTAGTGGAATACTTGTCGACTAGTCGTCAACTAGTCGAATTTTTCAAATATTCGGATAATTTGATTAACAAAACGTTTACTACTAATTTTTCTGAATTTCAGGAAAAACAAATAAACAATTAAGAATATTTTCTTTCCTCGTTAAGTTAAAAATTAATTCAACATTAAAGAGAAAAAGAAAAATACCTATACATACCTATTAATATACAGGCTGTCTCACGTAACTGGTTCGTTAAAACTTTTTAAGGTTCCACTATTCGTAGTGGTTTGAAATTTTGGTAGCATGGGTTGTTCATTCTAAACTTTCGATCTAAAATATTTTCAAGATGGCCACCTATTCCGGTCTACCGGAAGTAGACCACAACTTCGTTATTTTAAATGGAATGCTATAGTTTTTATTACACCTTTCAATTATACGTAAAAAAATATGTTGACTTTGATAAAAGTTGTTGGTACCTAGCGTTTTTTGTTTTCGAGTTATTTTGATTTTAAGTGTTTTTTGACAAATTTCACCATGGTCTTTAAAAGCCCATATCTCAGCTAACGATCATTCAAAAAAGCTCTGCATTGGCACGACTACTCTACAGATGCTGCCAAATAGATTGTCATTTGTTGTATCAGATAATCTTATACAGGCTGGTCAAAAATTGAATTATCGTTTCTCAATATTCAATTGCGAGAAAGTCGAAAATTTTAAATGGAACACCCCATATTTCTTTACCCTATCCGAAAAGGAATTTAATTCTCTACAAATTATCTATAAACATTCCTATACCTATTTAGTGTAGCTTCCCTGATATTGGAAAATTAATCAAAATCAGACATAGAATCCCAAAGCCCGTTTGTGTTTTTGTTAGCAGGCCAAGACATTTTGACAGTTCATCGTTTAATTTATTTAAATTATTATTGATATTATTTCCACAATTAACTATGGTTGAATAACCTTTAGCTTACTTGCTTTTATTTACCAAAATAACCAACAGAAAAACGAATAAATGAAACAATGAAAAACAACAATTTAATAACAGAAATTAGAATGGATAACATATAAAAAAACATAAAAAACTTAAAATTATAAAAAAATTAAAACTGTTCGATATGTTGACCATTCACCATTAAACATTTTTCAACTTTTCTTTCGACTCCTACGATTGTGGCCCGTAGAAATTGGTCGTCATCAATAGTACGTAGTACACGCACCACTCTATCACGCAACTCTTGTCGTGTGTTGACCGCTGAATTGTACACTTGATTTTTTAAGTGAGCCCATAAATAAAAATCCAATGGTATTAAATCTGGAGATCGTGGAGGCCATTGCCATGAATATAAAACAAATTTAAAATATCGGCGTTGGAATAATTTGCCATGATATACAATGACTTTCACTCGTAATCAAAAGTAAGTAACAACAACAATAACACAAATATGGACCAAAAACTGTCAAAATTCCATGGCCTTCTAATAAAAAAATCAAATGTTTTCCCGCATTCCGTGCATGCTTTGATTAATTTCCCAATATCAAGGAAACTACAATAAATAGGTATAGGAATGTTTATAGATAATTTGTAGAGAATTAAATTCCCTTTCTGATAGGCTAAAAAAATACGGGGCATTCCATTTAAAATTTTCGACTTTCTAGCCATTGAATATGGAGAAACGGTAATTCAATTTCTGACCAACCTGTATAAGATACTCTGATACAAGAAATGACAATCTATTTGACAACATCTGAAGAGTAATCGAGCCAATTTAGAGGTTTTTTTTTTTAATGAACGTTAACTGAGATATGGGCTTTTAAAGAACATGGTGAAATTTGCCAAAAAAAGCTTAAAATCAAAATAACTTGAAAACAAAAAATGCTAGGTACCAACAACTTTTATCAAAGTCAACATATTTTTTTATGTATAATTGAAAGGTGTAATAAAAACTATAGCATTCCATTTAAAATAACGAAGTTGTGGTCTACTTCCGGTAGACCGAAAGTGGTGGCCATCTTGAAAATATTTTAGATTGAAAGTTTAGAATGAACAACCCATGCTACCAAAATTTCAAACCTCTACAAATAGTGGAACCTACAAAAGTTCCAACGAACCAGTTACGTGAGACACCCTGTATTAAACGTGCATGACAACATTTAATGAAGTGAACAAGTGTACTACAATACAAAAAGTTGATATAAGCAAGCTCTATAAGTAAATATTTTCTGTATAAACAAAACAAGATGACATTAAAAAAAAGAATGGATCAAAAAATTGTATCGAATGAAGTAAATTATTATTTTTTTAACGAATGTTCATATAGTCGACTATTATTAGAATAGTCGACTATATGAACATCGTCGACTATTCAAATATTCGACTTTTCGGCTAATAAATTATGAAAATTATTCGAATTTCGAATATTCGATTATTCGACTATCCGAATTATTCGAATATGATTCCGAGCCCTACCTGAGACACATTTTCATAGATGGGCATCGATACTTTGCTGTCTGATCTTAATAGGTGGGACACTAATGTACGTTAGTGTGGTTGCCATAGTTCAGAGTAAGTATTGCTTGTTAAAGTTATCCATTGCCATTTGTTTTTATTAAGTTTTGAAAATTACAGAGTCCAAGTGGCAACCATTTTTAACATAACGAGATTACGTGTCCTGGAAACATTTCCCTTAAAACGTCCATTGTCCTTCTTGCCGTAGAGCTGTAGCTCCATCCTGTTGAAACCACACACGTTTTGGAACTATGATTTTTTTTAGGGGTAAATTGACTATTTGCCGCATATCTCGAGTTAGATATGACCGATCTAGTCGTGCTATTCATTTATCAAATTAAAGAGTATTGTATAGCCAATAAATGTTATTAATACTTATTATAATCGGTTCGCTAGTTTTAAAACAATGACCCATAATATGTGAAAAAGGGATTTTTTTAGACGAAATGTGAACAAAAATTCATGCAATATCCGTGGAAAGTCGCAGAATTCTTTTTTACCTTCTACGTAAAGTTTGCTCTTGTTGTTAAGAAGACAACAAAGTACGCAGGATGAGAATCTATGGAGAAATTACCAAAAATCCGATCTTCTATATGTGAGAGTACAGCTTTTTCTTGTACATGAAATTCCGCACAACTAGACCGTCAGAAATTTTTATGTTTCATGTTTCGTACGTTTCTGAGATTTTGCGTGCAGGAGCTATTCATCCCAATCTTTCGATTTAAAATAATTTCAAGATGGCTGCCACATCCAGTGTACCGAAAGTAGCCTACAACTTTGTTATTTTAAACAGAATGCCAAGGTCCGTCGAGTATTGGTTATAAGGTTATCCAACTCGAACAAATTAACGTTGACGGGGTGAGGTGGGAAACATGACGTCACTGGAGGAAAAATATAACATAATGTAAATTTAATATAAATATAATAATAATATTTATGTTAATAATTATTTAAAAATTAAACAAGTGTTATTAAACTCAAGAAATAAAGAGTTTCTATTGATTTACGTATATAAATGAAAACAGAAATGACAATTCTTCCAATGACGTCACAACAAGGCCTTTGCGGAGGGGATACGTTCATAACAACAGCGTTCATAGGGAGTTGGATAACCTTATACAGTATGTTTACTCAACGGACCTTGACAGAATGCTACAATTTTTATTGGATATTTGAATTGAAAAACAATTTTGTTTAATAAAAAATCAAAATCCAAAATTCACTCGCAGAAAGAGAACCGCAAAAATTCCGTCTCATTTTTTATATACAGTTTGTACTTTTACAATAGGAAGACAGTATTTACGACCATTTCTATAATTTTTCTCAAAAAGCACGAAATACAGTGATTCATTCAGTTTATTTTGATTGTAACATTTAGGTATTAATAAAATAGTATGCACAAGTCTTAAAAATAACTTTGCCCCCCGCTTTGCCTTCTGTTTCTTTGAGAATCCGTCTCTGTTATGAGGAACCAGATATAGTCTCCCATCATTCTTTCATCCCAAATTCCTTGATAACGCCGCTCAATGTTCTTCATTTGTTGGTGGAACCTTTCACCATGTTCGTCACTTACGTCACCAAGATTCTCCGGGAAGAAATTTAGGTGTGAGTGTAAAAAATGAATTTTTAGTGACATATTTA